CTGGATCCAACCTGTGGCCCTGGCTCAGTAGTCACCACAAATGGCAGATCAACTGGCCACAGATATGGCTTGAGTTTAAACTGTAAACTTCTGGGAAACCCACTATCTCCAAGAAAGCCTCCATCTGGGCACATGGAGCGAGGTGACTTCTTTGGGAGACCTCCTAAGCTCAGGCAAAGCTGCTCAGGCTGCTCAGGAAGTGCATCTGTTCCCACCTCAGAGCCGTGTGCTTCGTAGTTCACTCGAGTAGCAGTCTCTTCCTAAACCATTTCACTGCACTTATGAACGTGGCACTGCAAGGAGAATCCTCCCTCTCTGCTCATTGTGAGGCACACTTGGGAGGCTGACGCAGAAGGATCATAAGCTCAAAGCCAGCTTGGACACTGTCGTGAGACCCTTTCTCAAAATAAAAGATAAAAAGGTTTGGGAGTATAACTTAGTCGTAGAGTGCCCCTGGATACGATCTTCAGTACCATAAAGGGGGTGGCAGGGGAGAAGAGATAGGCTTAAACTTAAGAATACTTGTAAGTACTTCTAGGACAACAGCAGAAACTTGCATTTCCTTTCTCCATCCCAAAGGAACAGAAGTAGCATTGTGACTATTTAACCGGCTAGTGATTGCTTTTGTATAACAATAGTACACAGCAAGGTTAACTCACTCTTTTTTACAGGGTGCAACTTCTGTGGGTCTGCCAGCTACCTGATTAGTCTTTTCAATGATTCTGTGAAGTAGGAAACATCTCCATTTCACAGATGAGAAAAGTAAGGCTCAAAAAGTGAATGTATTCACCTATGGCCAAATAGTAGACAGCATTGTAAGGAGTCAAATCCAATTCTGAGTCCAAAGTCTCACACTCCCTGTACTACATGGTGCCCGGATATGTTCAGCTTGTGTGGGTGTCTCTTGTCCATGACACTCTGGTGGCCTGGCCGAGCCTTGGGCAGTCTGGCCTTTGATAGCACTGGAAGCCACTGTGAAGGCCCCTCTACTTACCCTTTGGGCCAGATGCCTTGCTGTTTCATTAGAAATCTGGTTTCCAAACCACAAATGCCAAGGAAGGTCTGATGCATCCTTAAAGCAGTGCTCGGACTCTATTAGCTGGTGACCAGGAGAGCAGGACCTGGCTTCCTGCCACTCGCCAGGATAAGCTCCCCAGTGCAGACACTGTGGTTCAGAACTGAAGACAGTGCTGCCGAGGCACAACTTTGATGCTGAATCTGCACGAAAGCGCTGCTGTTGTATGTAAACTCCTAGCACAGACCTTACACTGAGAGAGGGCTCTACTTGGACAAGCACGTCCACATCTCAACAGCTGCATGGCACTGACAGCAAGGGAAATGGTGATGCTATGACTATCATTTTTAGTATTCTTACTTTACAGATGAGAAAGTCCAACTCAAAAGAGGCCTGGGGCCCTGCCTGGAGTAATGGTGTAAAGGTTGAGAGTTAGGCCTCTGCCTCTGAAAAGTCCTTTAAATAGATAATATCCCAGAAAATCTTGTTTTTAAGCCCTTCAGAAGCCCCATTCTGTGTTGCTTATGTAGCTGCAGGCCAGAAGCCCCGTTCACATGACAACAATTGGTACTACCCTAATCATCAGTCTAGCAATAACTGCTAGATCTCTCTTGGATGCTTTCTGCACAGGACATTGCTACATTATTTATTTGTTACACATTATTTCATTTCATATTTGAAATCCGAAAAGAGTAGGTCTCATTATCCCTTCCGGTTTTACATATAAGGAACCAAGACTCAGAAGCTTAGGTAACAAATTCAAGGCCATCAAGCTAGGGAGAGGTAGACTGTGGACACAAACTGAGAACTAGATTATATGTCTCCACAGTTGAGTCCAAAATGGAAACCACCAGCTATATGCTACTTTTGAAATTTGAATTAAATTCAGTGAAATGAAATTAAATACCCAGTTCCTCACTCACACTAGTCAGGGCATGTGCCCCTTCTGGGCATGGCTGGGGCATATTTAGCAGCATCCCTGGCCTCTACCCACTAGATGTCAGTAGCACCATTTGTCCCCAGGTGTAACAACTCAAAATGTCTCCAGACTTTGCCAAATAGCCCACGAGAAACAGAATTGCCCTCCCAAGTAGCAAACCCCTGGCTTCAGTTTCTTTATGTATTTGAAGTAATCAAATGGCAAGTCTTCACTAACTCAACTCGGCGTTCACTGGCATTCATTTCTTCCAGCAGCTTACAAAGTTTATCACAAAATGTACTGAGTGGATGGCTTTAATGGCTATTGAAGATTGCGTGAACGTAAAACCAAGTTATACTGTGAAACTAGAGTGAAGATGCCACGAAGGGATTAGGACAATGTATTGTATCATTAGTTTCTCAAATTTACTATCTGTAGCCAGAACTGCAATTGTAAATAAAAGGTAAGAAATTGGCTTAAAAAGCTAAACAATCCCTATAATCCTAGCGCTTGGGAGGCTGAAAACAGGAGGATCAATCACTACGAGTCTGACCTGTATGGTGAGACCCTGTAGATTCTGTACTAAATGTATAAAAATAAAAATAAATAAAAACCAAAAAAATGTTAAAATAGAACATCCAAGATGAAATAACAGGAGCAACTATGTCACATACTGTATGTTGGTTAGCAATATCCAGAAATACCAACAAGAAATAACGCAATTTGAGATTTGGTGAAATAATTTGCATTTTAAAATTAGAACAATAGAAAATGCAATATCAAAGGATTGAAAAAAAAAGTAATGGATGAGGGGCTAGGGAGATGGTTCAGTTGAATAAGTGCTTTCCTGGCAAGCACAAGGTCCTGAGTTCAATCCCCGGTACCGCAGAAGGAAGGAAGGAAAGACAGAAGGAAGGAAGGAAGGAAGGAAGGAAGGAAGGAAGGAAGGAAGGAAGGAAGGAAGGAAACCTATGTAGTACAAGACAATAAAAAACTAATTGCTGGGGGGGGTTGGTGGAACCAAAAATTGAACTCAGCCCCTTGCATTTGCCAGGGAAGTGCTTATTCTACTGAGCCATCTCCCTGGCCCCAGTACATACTTATTTTTTTTTAGTACAAGCTTATTGATACCTTAATTAAGTGATTTAATCATCCCACATGTATATATGTACATATATTTATATATTTATATATAACAAAACATCAGATTATACTCTATAAATCTGTACACATATATGTATCTATTTAATTTTTTATAAAACTAAAAAGAAACTAGTTTATATATTAAAATATACAAATTTAACACAATATACTAAAATATTGATTCCTGAAAAGGACATTTTTCTACACTTTTAATATTTTCCAAAGGAGATTAAGCCTTCTTACCACAGATGGAATAATCCATGAACAAAATGAAATCTGTTCATTGTATTGTCAGAGAAAAAGCCTTTCTATGTACACATTTGCAGTACGTAATGAGTACATGCCTTGTGGGGAGTGGGCACATGCATATAAGGCATCGTAATTCTTTTCTCATCCCTTTTCCTTCCCTCCCCTTCAAAACCATTCCTTCCTACCTGAACTTTTACAAAGACAAATGTTTCATTCTATAAATAACAAAATTAAAAAACTAGCCCAAGAGCCAGCCTTCCTCCAGAGGGTAATGCTAGTGGCCTAGGACAACACCCCCCACCCACACACCCCACTTCATCAGCATTCACAATTCCCCCGTTGCTGTGTTGAATGGAAAGTGTGATGAGTAGATGCCACGGGGGAAAGGCAGGTTAGCAAGATGCATGGGGACTGGGCCCTCTCCAGGGAATCTGAGTCAACAGCCTTTCTGCTAAAGCTAAGGTACAAAGGACCTGTAGCACAGTAATACAGAGCTTGTGTAGCATGCACAAGGCCTGGGCTCCAACTCTAGCAGCAATTAACTAATTTTTAATTATGGAGAAAGAAAACCCAAGTCAGAGAGAGAGAGAAAGAGGGAACTGGAGTGCCACCAGGCTCTTAGTTACCACAGTAAACACTTGAGTTACAGTGAGGGGTGGAAGTTGGTTCTGAGCTGCAGGCTGAGAAATGGCAAGTCCACGTTCGAAGTGCCTACTGACAGCTTTAATATGCCTTTCCCAACTGGAAGCTCACCTGTATAATGAATTTATGCCCATCTTCCTTCAGGTCCCAACAAAATCCTCATTGCCTTAAAGTAACCCTCCTTGATGTCCTCAGAGGTCAGAACCCAAATATTACATGTTCTTCTAGCATATATCTCTCTTTTCTAAAACCTTCGCAATCATTTTTTTCTCCAAATACTGGAGATTGAACCAGGGCCTCACAGTGAGCTGCATCCCCAGCCTTTTTGTTTCTAATTTTGAGATAAGGTCATGCTAAGTCACAAAGTTTCCCAGGCTGGACTCAAACTTGTGATCCTCCTCCCTCAGCTTCCAAGAGTTCTGGGATTAGAGGTGTATCCCACCAAGCGCAGCTTCACAGGCATTTGGACATTCGCCTCTGTGATTACATGATTAATACCTGACTTGCCAACTAAACTGTTAAGTTTCATGAAAGCTAAGACCCTCTATGGTTTTGTTTACCACTGTTGCCAGGCAGTGCCTGGCCATAGTAGAGAATGAAATATTTATTGAATAAATGAAAGAGTGACAAACAAAATGAAGTATTTCTAGAAAGTTGAAGTGGCAGTCGGGTTTCCAAAGAACAGAAGCAGAAGCAGAAGAACAGTGAGTGCTTGAGCAGTCTGTGGCGAAATCCTGGGAAGCTATAACAGTGGCAGAGCTGGGGGCTAATGAAGGTAAAATAATGAGGAGGAATAGTCTATTCATGCCAGAAAGATTGAATGAGCAGAAAGTGACTCAACAGAAGGACACATTTGGAGATGTTTTGGAGATCCCAAAAAAGGGTCATGTTCAAGAAGTTACCCAAGAAGTTACCTGTGAGTAGTGTTGCATGATTTCCTGGCAAGTTTCCGGATGTCACATTAATTAAAGCTAGTCAACAATATGCATATCCAATTATCCTGATAGGAATCTGTGTACCTTATGCGTTTACCTTGAAGGTGACACTAAGGCTCAGTTAGTTCATTGGTCTTCCAATGTTTGGCAGCATGCACCTGGCAAGGGATGAGTTAGGGTGGAAACTCAGTTCAGAGCAATCAAGGAAGATCTGGAGGAAAGCCCTAAGAAACCCCCTGAAGACTTACTGCTGCCCTTAGGACAGTACTGTCCCCAGGAGGAGGCACAGTGACTTCGAGGCTGCAGCCTACATAACTTGCTGAACTTTCTTGATGTGACAAATTGTCTGGACATATTTTTTTCTTTTTTTGAGGCAAGGTCTTGCTCTGCAGCTCAGGCTGACCTTGACCTCACTTTGCAGCCCAGGTGGTTCTGAAACTTGCAATGATCCTCCTGCCTCCACCTCCTGAGTGCTGGGATTACAGACGTACATCACCACATCCAATTTATCTGGACTTTTTTTTTTAAGGAGAAAGTAAAAAAGGAATGTTTTTTATTTTCACCTTTTAGAGTAATGTTTCAAATCTTATGTATTTCAGAAATAATCTTTGGGACTGGGGAGATAGCTCAGTAGAATAAGCGCTTGCCTGGCAAGACAAAGTTCTGAGTTCAATCCCCAGTACTGAAAAAAAAAATCATTGTTGGGAATCCATTAAATTCCATGGAAATTTCTTTATAAATTAATAATATTACTTTAAAATTAAAACCAAACTAAATCAAAAGAATCCTGAACAAAAGCAGTGATCCTCCTGGCCTTGCTTCCCTGGGCCGTGAGGCTCTTTGAAGCCCCTTCTCTCAAGGTCACTGGATTCTGGTTAGATGAGACAAGGTCACAGGAACTCCACTTGCTTCTCTGCCTCCATATCTCAACCTGTCTCTCCATTGTGTAGCCCTTGAGTGGCCCTCACTGTGCACCTGGAGAGCACCACGCTGTGCTTCCCCCAGAGGCAGGCCCCAGCTACCCCAGGAAGCAGCACACATGATTCAGGATCAGTGTAGCTGCATCCTGAGGGTGGCAGATGCCTTAGGCTCCATACTCAGAGTTAAGAAGCTGAAGGTCAGGGATGGGTGGTGAAGGCCTGGGTAACCAGAGTGCAGAAAGCCCGGAATGGGGATCAAAGCCTTGGGATTGGAAAAGAGGGAAAGGGGCACACCAGACACCTGCTCCTGAGCACGCACATCAAATACTTCCAACCCCTGAGCCCTGCCTCAATGGAGGCAGGAGGAAACTGGCAGCAGATTCTGTCAGTAGATTCCAGAGTCAGAAAGAGACTTGACAGTCCTATTCATCTATGAAGACCAACACAGCCCAGCAGAAAGGATGGCCTTCTTTTTCTTTTTCTTTTATGGTACCAGGGATCAAACTCAGGACCTCGTGCTTGCCAGGCAAGCACTTATTCCACTGAGCTATCTTCCCGGCCCCAAGGATGACCTTCTGATTCATGAGATCTCCAAAACAAGATAGGATGGCAGCCAAGTAAGATGGAGTTTTCACCCCCACATCTTTGCCTCTACAGAGCAACATTTTTGTGAGAGGAGAGGAAGTCGATTAATTTTTGACACCTTGTAAAAACCTGGTATTTCCTAACCAAAGACCAGAGCAGCCAAAAGTTTATAAATGAAGACTCTATGGTTTCTTTGTTTGAAAATACCTTAAGTTGGGGCCGGGGAGATGGCTCAGTAGAATAAGTGCTTCCCTGGCAAGCACAAGGGCTTGAGTTCAATCCTCGGCTCTGCAAAAAAAGAAAGAAAGAAAGAAAGAAAGAAAGAAAGAAAGAAAGAAAGATTAATTTGTTAAAATAAAGCAGCTTTATTTCTTGATTGGAAATATTCTGTGTCCCTGCTTTGGCAAGCACAGGGACCAGGGTTCGATCCCCTGTCCCGCATCCCACACAAGCCCTACCAATGGGGCACACTGAGCTGATGACTGAGTCCAGTCGTGGTGGCGCCTACCAGCGCTGGAGAGGCTGAAAACAGGATCACTATGAGTTCAAGCACAAATGAAAATAAACTGGAAATATTCTGTGTTGGATAAATAGGATCTGCATGTCCTATCAGTATGACTTCCACACAGACGGATGTGATCGGCCTGGCCTGCGGACACATACTGCAAGAGCAAGAACCACACTTTTTCCAGGTTCAATGGAAGGCCATGGAGTTGACAAAAATGAAAACAATCTTCCCAAACTTTGCCAAAATGTGTTCTGAACAAGGTAGCATTGTAATTGGACCCGGGCTGCTCTTCTTCTCCTCTTGACCTCTTAGTCAGCACTTCTAGGACTTTGTTCATGCTGGTCTACCACCTCTCCTGCCCTGGAGAGAGCACCCTCGCCACCTTGCCAAGAGCCCTAGCACCAGCACTCCCCACTCCCCACTGCTTTTTTACTATCTTTTTCATGTAGAATATGAAACTTTGGGCCAGCGAGATAGCTCAGCAGACTAAGCACCTGCTTAGACAAGTACAGGGACTGGGGTTTGATCTCCAGCACTGCATGCTGTGCTGGCCCTGTGACAGAGCACACTGAACAGGCCAATGAGTCCTGGTGTGGTGGCGCATGCCTATAATCCCAGCGCTGGGGAGGCTGAAGACAGGAGGATCACTACAAATCCAAGCTGCAAAGTGAAACCCTATACCAAATACATCAAAAAAAAAGGAAAAAAAGAATACAATACTTCATGTCAAATCTAGTAACTAGCTGTTCTAAACTCTGATGACTTCTAAATTCTCCTCACAGGACCCTGAAATGCCTCACCGTATTTGTCTGTCTTCTAGCGGAAGAAGCTAGCATTCACCACCTTCAGGAAGCCTCACCTTATCGTGAATTGTACCCAGTCCTGGACCCAGACTGCAAAATGCTATTCAAGTCACTTCCTGGGTGCCTTTGGTAGGCCCCTGCATCCAGGCGCCATGCTTTCTTTTCTCACATCCCACCCTCCACATGTAGCAGAGACTTCCCTGTAAAAGAATATGCAAGCCCAGCACTGTGGCACATACCTGTAATCCCAGAACTCTGGGAAGTGGAAGCAGTAAGGTGGAAAGGTCCAGTCCAGCCCGGTAAACTTAGCAAAGCTCTGTCTCAAAATAAAAGATAAAAAGGGCTGTGGATGTAGATCAGTACAAAGGTCCTGGATTCAATCCCCAGGACCACAGAAATTAATTAGTTAGCATTTCATTTTTTAAAAAATATTATGTACTCCATAAAGTTGACTGACTAGCTGATTGATGAGGCCATTACTTGTTGAGGAGAAATTGCTGGCAAGTCTGAATCCTGGCTCTACTAAATACTAAACATGGGCTCTTGAGCAAGTCACACGCAACCCATGAGCCTCCATTTCCTCATCTATGATATCAGGGCAGTAGCTGCCCTACCTTGTGGAGCTGTCACCCAGTTTCAGTGAAATCATGCTTTTCTTCAGTGTGAGACCTAGTGGTCGGGAAATGCTCCAACCTGTCAACTTGGATGACGATGGTGACAGCACTTATCCCAGGAGGGCAAGCATCAAGGAGAGTCTCTGTAGACTTGGGCCACTGTCACTTTCTTCTTGTTCCTGAAAATGTAGAGGTGACAACTAGAATCTCACATAAATACCTGGTTGCCTTCTGGAATATCCACACTTGATTGCAAGAAGTCACGAAGTGGTCATCTGAGGTCCCTTTTCAATTGCTGTAATGATTTAGAGAAATGTCTTTAAGACTTATAGGAACTCAAAGGTGCATATCTGATGTTATAAAAGATGGACATGAGGACACTGGGAAAGAGTAAATATAGATACTTTAGTATCACCAAACTGTTCTCAGAAGTATGTTAAGAGTGCAAAAGGATACATAAGGCAAAAAAGGGCACTGTCCACCTAAGATCCCCAAATCACTTCTCCACAATACCTCCAAGTCTCTCTCTCATCACCCTCCTTCGCTCTCTCTGTTCAGCGCTGGTTAGTGCTGGGTTCATAAGTATTCTTCCACTGAGGTACACAGCCTTGGACTTCTTGCCCCCTATTTGACATCACCACTTGGAGTTCCACAAGCATTTCAAACTCATTATGTCCAAAATAGAGCTCCACTTCTCCCCTAAACCCGAAATTCCTTAAGACTTGCCATCCAATTCTGCATGTCAAGAACTGGAAAGTTAACCTCAGCTCTTCCATCTTTTTCAACACTCTGCTGCCACATAATTAACAACTTTTGTGGATTTTAACTACAAAATAACTCTTAAATCTGCCCACATCTTGTCCTCTCCACTGTACTGCCCTAATTCAACACTCCTTCAACCAGAACAATATTCTTCTCAGTAGTTCCTTTGCTCTCACCCAATTAATTCCAGTGCCACCACCTACAAAACTATACTGTCAATGGCAAATCTGTGCAAATTAATTCCCTGCTTTCAAAACACCACCCTGGGGGCCGGGGAGATGGCTCAGTAGAATAAGTGCTTGCTGGGCAAGCACAAGGACCTGAGTTCAGTCCCCGGTTCCAAAAAAAAAGAAAAGAAAAGTGAAAGTCAAAACACCTCCCTGACTTCCCTGAGACTTTAGGGTGAAAACACTTTCTAAGACACAAGCTATGGTCCCTGCTAAATTGGGTCCCATTTGCTATCTTCTTTTTTAGTGGGGAGATGCTCAGATGATTTGCATTAATAGAAGGAAAAAAATTATAAGCCCAATGAATGGCCCTAATTCATTACTGGTACAACATGTTAGTTGTTTTTCTTTCTTTTGTTTTGGTATTAGGGATCAAACTCAGGACCTCACTTACCAGGCAGGTGCTGTTCCATTGAGCTATATCACCAGCCCCCAGTCTAACATTATTGTGTTCTTATGCCATATCCATCAGAAGTACTGCCCTTCTCTTTTCTCATCCGGTAAATCTTACCCACTTTTCAAGATTTACTCTAACCTCATCTTCTATGAAGTCTTCACTGTTGTCTCCTTGCTACAGCTTCTCCTCTGCACATTAATATGCTCTGAACACAACCATCACACCATAATTGTCTGTTCAAACTGAGGCTCCTCTACCAGGCAGGGGCTATATTTTATACATTCTATTTTTAACACTCAACACATGACTGAGCCCAAGGACAGCATAAAAATTTGTGAAATGAGTTAATGGCTTCACTGAGTCCCTATCTCCAGTAACAATGGGTCAGTACACTATAATGAGTGTTCTCTGACTCGTGTAAGGGACAGAATGTGAGGCATTTGAAGTGACATGAGGCTTAGCCTAGAGGGTGCTCAGTGTTACTGCATGTCTCCTGCTGAACACTTTCATCTCCACTTCCTAGATAAGAAGCAAAAAAAGAAACCACACTGATATCACCTTGATCTTTTGGTCACATAGTTCCTCGACCCTCTCCAAGTCCTACCTCCAAGCTTTAAGGCCTAGCTCATTAGGCCTCGCTCATTGGGCCTAGCTTCTTCCTGAAGAAAGACCACTGTCACCCTAGGCGAGCAAGGAATTTCCTCTCCCTTAAACTTCTGGAAGGTTCATTGTCTGGGCAAGTCTGGCGCCCATGGTAGACCACCTCTTGGATTTTTTGACTGGGAATCTGAGGGTGTCAGAACAGAGAGAGCCCCAGGAAATGGGGGCTGTCTTATTGATCCCGAAGCTGAAAGAAGTGATTTGCCTGAAGTCCCTCGGAAAGTGTGGTCAAAATAGATTCCTAGGCTCTGCCTGTAACATCAGAATAAAGATGTGAGAGATATTATTTGAGAACTCTCTACCCCATGCCAGATCTATGTTGGGTCTTCTCAAGAAGCTCACCAGAAGCTGACAAGACACTCTTCTGAGCTCTGTGGCCTCCATGGTATCAAGCATAGCAGTGCTGTGTAATTTCTTCAGTGATTAGCCCTGTACTACTCCCCCATGAAAAAAGTGAGATGAACAAAGAAACTTGAAGTTAGTCTAGCTGAGAGTGCCAAGGGAGAGTCGTCCTTGGCAGCCCTCCCCCGTACTGCTTTCTGACTGAATTTTTTTAAGTGTCAAGGTCATCATTAACCAAAATGAGTTTAGCTCAAAAGCTTGTTTCTTAGGATGGGTAGGGACTCTTCAAACATCTTTCCTAAATCTCATCTGCAGAAAAAATAAACATTCCAAAACAAACACATGCATACACATACACACACACACACACACACACACACACACACACACACACACACAAATATAGAATTAGCTGGACATGTAGTAGGTTCACAGTCGTATGCTTTGTAGGTGTCTATTTCCAGCATGGGCAGTGATCCCAAACAATCAAGAAGATTGACCGTTACATAAAAGTTCATTACAGCATCTAGGCTGAGGCCGTTAAGTCAAGAAGGTAGCTTCAGACCTTTTGATAATTCTTCCAACAGGAGGATGACCAAATGGTCTTTCTTCTTGAGTCTTGAGTCTCAGTTTCTCAGAAATTTAATCCACTAAGTCTTTTTCCTAAGATTCTGGCCAGGTAAGGTTCTGTTGTGCTGAGAAGACCACAAACATCTATACCTGAGGCCTAGTTCCCCACTGACTCCATCACCCCTGTAGCCATCAGCCTCTGGGAAGAAAAGTGACCTACATGCTTGTCACCCACCAGAGAATATTCACAAGATCAGTCCCAGGCTAGCCCTCAAAATTCTTTATATTATTGCAAGACTACTGTCCTGATCCTGGGTTTGATCATTGTTTGACAAGCAAGATCCCTGGTTAAGGGCCAACAAGATAGCTCAATGGAATAACGTGCCTGCTTAGGCAGATGCAGGGACCAGGGTTTGAGCCCCACAGTGTCGTGCCAGCCCTGCCCCCAGGGTGTGCTGAGATGGCCAATGAGACTGGGTGTGGTGGTGCACGCCCGTAATCCCAGCCTTGGGAGGCTGAAAACAGGAAGATCACCTACAAGTCAGATATGTGTAGTGAGACCCTGTAGACCATGTACTAAATACATTTTTTTTTAAAAAAGATCCCTGGTTAGAGAAAGGGCTAAGATCAGTCAGTCACTCACTGGTGCACTATTCAGCCACTTGCAGTGACCTGGACAGTATGTGCTCTGTACAGCCCATTAATACTCATTTCCATCTACATCTTGTACATCACTCCTCTGGGGGTAGAAGCAGTCAAGCGAGCTTCTGTGAACAAGATGCCTGGAGGCTGAATATGTTCAGGCAGGGCAAGTACTTGAAAAGCACAAGCTGTATCCTGGAAGGGCAGAGGGTCCATAAGCGGCAGGGCGTGCTGGGTGGTTGATTTCCAAAGGCAAGTGGAAAGACAGAAACAAGAGATAAAACCTGAAAAAGTCAGACACTACATGAAGCCCAGAATGAAGACAGGATTGGAAAGCAGCAGTGAGAGCAAAGTGAGGACCTCCAATGACCATGGAGGGGACAGAGATAGAGGCAGGGAGTTGAGGCACAGCCCTAGGCACAGGCTAGGTGGGAAAGAGCATCCTAAACTAAATCCTCCAGGGTCTTCCCTGGATAAATTCTACAGTTTTCTGGTGGGGCCTTGACAGAGTGTTGCTCTGGAGAATTTGAAGGCCTTCAAGGCTTTCACTGATGGGAGAAGAAAATAGGTATAGAATGACCTTATCTAATGCTGTCAAAAAGCACTTCAATAAACCTAGTGCCAACATCATATTAAGTGAGGGGAAATGGAAAACTTTCGCTCTAAAATGAGGACCAACCCTCGGATGTCTGCTATCACTACCTTTGTTCAACACAGTACTTGTAATATTAGCGAGAACAATAAGGCAAGAGAAAGAAATAAAAGAATATGTATAGGAAAAAAATTAAATTATCATTATTGGAGGATGACATGATTCTCTACACAGAGGACTCAAAAATTCCACGAAATGTGCCTACAATTAATAATTAGATTCAGCAATATAACAGAATGCACAATTAACAGAAAAAATCAAAAGCATTCTGGTACACCAATTAATGAACTCACTGAGAAAAAAAACTAAGAAAACAATACCATTCACAATAGTATTAAAAATACTTGAGTGGCCGGGGAGATGGCTCAGTAGAACAAGCACTTGCCTGGCAAGCGCAAGGGTCTGAGTTCAATCTCTGGTTCAAAAAAAAAAAAAACCCTTGGGAATTAATTTACCAAAAGAAATGAAAGGTATCTAGAACAAAAATCACAGTACTCTTAAAAAGGAGATTGATAAGGACATCAGAAAATAGAAAAAAAAAATCCCTGCACATGGATAGACACAACCAATAGAGACAAAATGGCTATATTTCCAAAATTGCTGTGCAAAGTTAATGCAATACCCATCAAAATGCCAGTAGCATTCCTCACAGAACTAGAGAAAACAGCTCTAATGCTCATATGGAACCAGAAAAAAATCCAGAATGCTAAAAGCAATCCTCCATAAAAGAACAAAGTCAGAGGTATCACAATCCCAGATGGAAAGTTACATTGCAAAGTTACTCTGATAAAAAGAACATGGTACTAGCACAGAAACAGACATGAGGATCAACAGAACAGAACAGAAGGTACAGAAGCAACCTCAAGTACACACAACTATTTGACCATTGATAAAGGAGTCAAAAGCACACACTGGAGGAGAGGTCATCTCTTTCAGAAATGGGTTGAGAAAACTGGCTATCCACATGTAGAAGATTGACTCTAGCTGTGTGTCTCTCATCATCCATTAAACTAAAATCAAATGCATAAAAGAACTAAATGTTAAAACAGAAATACTGACCATGTTCAAAGACAAAATAGGCAGAACTTTTAAAGTCATAGACATAAACAAGGATTTTTCAATAGAACCCTGCTTACCCAGGAAATAGTACTGAGAATCAACAAATGGGATCATTTAAAATTTGATAGCTTTGCCACAGCAAAAGAAACCGCCAACAGTGAAAATACAGCCTATAGAATGGGGGAAATTAGGGCGGGCCTGATAGCTCAGCAGATTAAAGTTCCTGTTTAGGCAGACCAGGCACACTGAGAATGTGATTCAGACTGGGTGTGGTGGCATGGGCCTGTAATCCCAGCCTTCGGAGGCTGAAAACAGGAGAATCACAAAGAGTCCGATCTATGCAGTGAGACTAGGCCGGGGAGATGGCTCAGTAGAGTAAGCGCTTGCCTGGCAAGCGCAAGGGCCTAAATCCCTGGTTCTGAAAAAAAAAAAAAAAAGAATGGGGGAAACAAAACTTTGCCAGTGATTCCTCAGACACAGGACTCAGGCGTAGAATATATAAAGAACTCAAAAAAAAAAAAAAAAAAGAGAGAGAGAGAGAGAGAGAAAGAAAAAGAAAAAAGAATTAGGCCTGCCAAAATAAAAGATCAAATAAAAAATGGGCGATCGAAATAAGCAGATACTTGACAGAAGTACAACTAGCCAAAATAATAATACACGAAATGCTCAATGTTGCAGCCCATTAAATAAACGCAAATTAAAAGAACACCAGAAAAAATAGCCATCATCAAGAACTAAAATATTAGCAAATGCTGCAGAAGCTACATGGAGAAAGAAACCCTTCTACACTGTTGGTGGAAATATAAACTAATACACCCGCTCAGATATTCTTTAAAAAAAGGGGTCGCAGGCCTGATAGCTCAGCGGACTAAAGCGCCTGTTCAAGCAGAGCTCAGCTGCCAGGTTCGACCTCCCATGTGTCGTGCCGGCCCCGCCCACGGGGCACGCTGAGATGGCGATAGAGACTGGCCGCTGTGGCGCACGAATGTAATCCCAGCACTTGGGAGGCTGAGTCCGATCTACTTAGTGAGACCCTGTAGACCCTATAGACCCTGTCCTAAATACAGAAAGCAAAAAAATCTTCCAAAACTGAAACTAGAAATTCCATTTGACCCACCTATGCCCTTTCTAGGTATGTTCCCAAAAGAGTTAAAGTCATTCAGTTACAGAGCAACATGTGTTATGGCTACTATCTAGGTGTCCCCTCAAAACTCACACAGTCAGAAGTGGAGCCTTTCAGAGGTGGTATGAGCTAAAGTGTGTGCTGGGCCTAAGGGTGTGATACTGGAATGGATTCGTGGTGCCATGCTAGGATTAAGGGGCGAGTGCTACTCT